GTTCGTTTATGATGATCAGTATAAAACGAATTGCTCCTCTCTGGGATCCTATCCAATACATAAAATGTACTAGTGCAACTAATCAGTCAAGATCAACTATACGGTTGACACTACAACCGTTCTGATGGTTTGTTCATTTCTATCTAGTTTGTGAACCAATCATTCTTGTTTCGCAAGTGACTGATAAAATGATCTTCTGTACACCCGCGATAAACCAATTTATCTAAGTGCAAAACAACAAAACATAGAACTTGTTTAATCAAACACGATTCTCATTCAACATAAATAATGTAATAATATCCAAAGCAAAGCTTTAAACATATACACCAATAATCTCCCACTTATACTTAAAGTTTTCACTTTTACAAGTATATGTCTGTCAAAATCCGTGTTCTAAAAGACCTATGTTGATCCTGTCGCCACACATCTGTCTCCCATTCCTTCCACGTGTTTGACGAAGACCTTCTCAAGCAAACTCTTTGTGAAAGGATCATATAGGTTGTCCTCTGATGCAATCTTGGCAACTTCGACATCTCCACTTCTTACGACTTTTTGTATCTGGTGGTACTTGTGCTCTATTTGTTTGCTTGCCTTGTGGGCTCATGGTTCCCTTGAGTTTGCTATTGCACCATTGTTATCATAGTAAACTATACCTGTGGCAAACTCATAATCATCTCTAAGTCCACCAAGAAGTTCCTGAGCCAAATTGCCACCTTCGCTGCCTCAGAGGTTGCGACATACTCGACTTCCATGATGGAGTCTGCCACACATTTCTGGTTAACACTTTTCCATAAAATGTTTCCACATCCCAAAGTAAACACATAGCCTAAGGTTGACTTACTTTCATCTCAGTTTGACTGGGAGTCTGAATCAGTGTAACCCAGCACAAATAAGATGTTTGCATGGTAAACTAACATGTACTCTTTAGTCCTTCTTAAGTACGTGATTATATGTTTCACCATTGACTAATGCCCCAGACCTGGATTACTTAGATATCTAGCTACCATGCCTACGATGTAGCTAATACAGTTTTTTGCACAACATTGCATACATGAGACTCCCTACTGCTGAAGCATAAGGATCTATCTTCAAGTCCTCTATCTTTTGAGTTTTCTTGGGAGACATCTCTTTAGACAAAAGTATTCCATGCCGAAAGGGCAATATCCTTTTCTTGGAATTCTACATCCTGAACCTGGCTAAGACATGCATGAAGATTGGGATAAGCACAACATTCTTTTCTCACGGTCTCGAATGACCTTGATTACCAAGAATGTGTCATTCTTCTCCTAAGTCCTTCATATCAAACTGTTCGGACAACCGTACATTTACATTTGAAAAATCCTTTTTATTATTTCAAATTAGAAGTATATCTTCTATGTAAAGCACAAGAAACACCACCATGCTTCTTCTGCACTTCTTTTACACACAGTGCTCATAAGGGCATTGAGTAGATCTATACGACTGCATCGCCTCATCAAACTAGATGTTTCAAGACCTTGAGGCTTGCTTCAGTCCACAAATAGACTGATTCAGCTTGCAAACTAGATGCTCATGTCCCTTTGCGATAAAATCCTCTAGTCTCTGCATATAGATGTCTTCTTTAAGACTTCCTTTAAGGAAAGTCGTCTTAACATGCATCTCCATATCTTATAATCCATATGAGTAGCTACATCTAAGAGAATCTGAATAGACTTAATCATGGCTAATGGCGAATTTTTTTTTCATAATCGATCTTTTCTTTCTGTGTATACCCTTTCGTAATAAACCTAGCTTTGAAGGTCTCAATCTTCTCATCCGTTCCTCTCTTTCTCTTATAGATCTACTTGTATCCAATGGGTCGTACTCCACTAGGTGGTTCTACAAGATCCCAGACCTGATTGGAGTCCATTGACTCCATCTCAACTTTCATCACACATTCCCATGATACTGAATCCTTGTCCTGGAGTGCTTCATCAAACGTCCAAGGGTTTGATTCTAGTTCACTAGAGAATGAGTGTGACGACTCTCCAAGGAACATAAATAGGCCAGGTTGTCTCACAACCCTCTCACTGGATGAGGTACTATCTGCACTGGTACATACTCAATGTGCCATGTTGCAGTATTATGTGGTGTATCTACTTGCGCACTCTGTAGGAGACTATCAACTTCACTCCTCACTTTCTCTAATGCAAGTCTACTCGCGGGCTTGTGTTTCATAATATAGTCTTCTTCCAAGAATCTAGCGTTCGTGCTAATGATCACCTTCTGATCCTCGGGACTATAATATAATCCACCTTTCGTTTCCTTAGCAAACAAACAACCATACATCCGAACGCTTTTCCAATTTTCCAGCCTCCGACACCAGAACATGTGGATGGCTACCCAAACTTGAATATGTGAAAAATTAGGCTTGCGCCCTTTCTATAATTCATATAGAGTAGTCTCAACTGAATTTGATGGGACAAGGTTTACGATATACGATGTTGTATCTAGAGCTATTTCCCAGAATGAATTCGGTAACTCTGTATAGCTCATCATCAACCTAACCATCTCCATAAGAGTTTTTATTCCTTCGCTCTATAACCCCGTCCTACTGAGGCGTGTCGGGTGCAATTAGTTGGGATACGATCCAAGCCTATGATAAGTATGTCCTAAACTCTCCTAAGAGATATTTGTCGCCTCGATCAAATCAAAGTGACTTGATACTTGTACTGTGAAGCTTCTCCACAACTATTCGATACTCATTGAATTTCTCAAAGCATTTGGACTTGTAGTGCATCAGGTAGACGTACCCAAATCTCGAGTAATCATGGATGAAAGTGACAAAATACTTGAAACCTCCTCTAGCCTGGATTGACGTAGGACCAACAAACTAGAATGAATCAATCCTAGCAAATTCTCACACCTACACCCCTTAGCCGTAAACGGCCTCTTGGCCATCTTGCCTTCAAGGCATGTTTCGCAAGTTGGGAAGTTATCTTTTAGTGGACCGATCTGTCCTCTAGATACAAATTTTTGAATCCTTCTATGGTTGATGTGCCCAAGTCTAAGGTGCTAGATATATGCTTGATTCAACTGCGAAGGTTCTTTCCTTTTATTATATTTATTCAATACATTATTATGTTTCGATTGTTCCATTGTGGGATAGTTTGGTTTAAGAATATACAAATTCCCTACTAATGAACCAGAACAGATGAAACGATTCCCATAATGAATAATAACCTTGTCCTTAAAAGAGGCAGACAAACCATCCATAAAAAGTTTAGAAACTAAAATAAGATTCTTTCTAAAACGCAGAACATAAAGGCAATGTCTCATAACCAAACTAGTTATACTCCCTAGCTTCTTTACCAATGTTAGGTTCATGTTTTTAGGTTGATCTCCGTTTATCCATTTTATGTTATTTCTTAGTTGATAGTTGTAACCTCAATCATGATTAGAGCGTTTAGGATTTATTTTGCTTTTGTGAGATCAACATCGAATATAGATTCCGAATCGCCTTCCTCGAGAGATCGACCCGAGTTCGAGAGTCGTTCCGTACTCAGTGAAAATTTAATTTTATACAACAGAATCATACCAATTAAACATAATAGTATACATTTTAGCACAGAACTGGATGCCATTATCGAAAAAGAGGTTGATAAGTTTCTAAGAGCTAGGCACATCAAACCTATCCAGTTCCCTGAGTGGCTATCTAACGCAGTTATGGTGAAGAAGAAGCTAGATATATGGAGGATGTGTATTGACTTTCCTGACATAAATAGAGCATGTACAAAAGACCATGACCTTCTCCCATAGATCGACTAATTTGTAGATTCCACAGCTGACTGCAAATTGCTAAGTATGATAGACGCATCCTATGGGTATCACCAAATCGCGCTACCGCGAGAGGAACAGAAGCGAGTGAGTTTCGTGAAGATAAGAGTTATATACTGTTACGTGGCCATGCCCTTTGGACTAAAAAATATAGGGGCTACTTACCAACGACTAGTTGACCAGATGTTCAGAAAGAAAATTCGGAAAAACATGGAAGTTTATGTTGACGAAAAGCTGATAAAATTTTGTTACGCAATGGATCATTTCAATGACCTGCGGGAGAAGTTTTTCACCCTGAGGTCCTATGGGATGAAATTGAACATAGCTAATTTGGCATTAGGTCGGAGAAGTTCTTAGGTTATAGGGCAACAGAGAGAGGAATTGAAGTAAATCTTGAAAAAGTTAAGGCGGCCATGGACATAAAACCGCCAAGAAGCTTGAATGAAGTGCAGGTGCTGGCGGGATGATTGTCATGTATTAGTCGATTATTTCCCCAATCAGATGAGAAGGGTCTTCTATTTTTTCAGGGAGCTAAATTTGTGTGGACCAATCGAGCTCAGCGAGCATTTGATCTATTAAATGAATTTCTAGTAGAATTGTGGTTGTTTACTAAGTCTGGACCCAACGATTAGCTGGTCCTGCATTTGTTGGTAGGTCGTATAGCAATAAGCGCGGTATTGCTCAAAGATAAAGGGAGACAACATAAGACAACATATTACACAAGTTGTCTATGTTAGGTTCTATGAGGAACGTCACGACATGCATAGTATTGAACTTATCGAAATAAATCTTAAAGCGTAATCTATAGTTAGGATTAGGACATTACATTTTAAAATTTTTGCCGACTCAGAGACGTTTCTGATTTCCTTTGATGGAGATCGTCTGATTACCACAACTCAATCGGTTGAAGAGTTTGGCCCTTGTCGACTCTAGTCGAGTGTTGAATCACGAACGGGTCACCGGAATGAACTTCTCGGGCTCGGGCCAGTTGGATAGGTTCGGATCTCGTCTCGGGTCGGGTCGGTTCGCAGACAGTTGCGGGTCGCGGTCTGGTGATCGGGTCACGCGGACAGGCAGTCCGGGTCGCTGGGTGCGTGCGCGTGCTGGATTGGAGTCCTAGGTCGACGCGGACAGGGACTCGGGCAGCTGGCAGACGCGTGCGGGTGTCTTAGGTTGTCGAGGTCTAGCCGTGCAGGGACTGGGCATTACGCGGGCATGTGCGGCAAGTCTCTTAGGCGCACGAGGAATTTTGGACGAGCACGGGATGGCAGGCGCGTGATGCTCGGTCGCTGGAAGCAGATCGACACGGCACTGGGGCACGAGCAGGGGCGATCGGGATCGGTTTGCTCGTGGTGCACGGCAGTGCTGGGCAGCGATACGCATCGCTGGGAACTATTCGCGAGGCTTGAGCTGCACGCGGTTGCGGGCCTGTGCTCGCGGTCGTGTGTGGCTGGGCTCGGGGCGGTTCTCGGCGGCGATCCTTGGCAGCGGTGATTTCCGGCGAAGTCTACAGCGGCGGACGGCTGGGGAGGATGACCGAAAAATATGAAGGTTTGAGGTTTGATATAATATCACCTTAGACCCTTCTAATGAATTACCTAAACACCTAATTCAATTAATTTTGGTGGAGCAATTAATTGAATTTCCCAAACACTTAATCAAGACAATTTTTCTCTCTTATGAAGATGGAAAAATCGAGCACATCAAGTCTTGTACAAGAGGTTGGGACATGGTGTATTTATAGGCTTCATTAGGGACCTTAAGGAGGTGCCAAATATGAGCTTATCCCATTAGGCCAAGGAATCCTAATTCTACTCCATAAACTAATCCCTACTAGGTCATGATTCCTTCCTCCTAACATTACCTTCTAGAAGACTCTCTAGTCTCCTAACCCTAGTTAATATTATAGAAGGAATATTCCCTAAGTCTTGGAATATTAAATATGGAATAAAATTAATTCCTAAAATCCTTATAAAATTAAATAATAATATATCCCACTAGAATATTATTATTGCTCTCCCCATTTGACTCCAATTTAATCAATTAAAATAAACCTCCACTTGATTAATATTTATTGATCTGACTGATCGATTTACATCCCCATGTTTAAGATATAACGTCCGTCGATTAATTAAATTACTGACAAAATAATTAATCAACGTCTTTATTTATTTGCGAAATTAGTACCATTCAGATGTTTAATCATTATGTCGGATACTCATCCACCTACAGGGTTTAACATAATATTCCTTCCTGAGCTCATTTCGGGGATGTCATCAACCCAGCGCACTGGGACACAGTTACTGTAAATAATTTATAATAGCACACTATATAAATATTCTTACTTACCAAAAATATAGAGTATGTCATCCTAACAGAATAGGAATCACCCTTTGGTAAATCAAATAAATAAGTAATAAATATATATGCCTATTTTATTTTATCTTGCAGCTTTAGAGAACGCATCAATCACTGAAGGTCTAGATTACAACAACGGTCAGTGGATCTCGTAATCTTATCCTTCCGTGGTCCTGTTCAATACTTAACATAAGTACTAGTATAGTTCTCCAGTTCAAGGTCAACTGAATCAAGAATAGACTACAATCTTTTTCCAAGTGGGGTCTCACTGCCAGTCTAGACTGTGAACAAATAATTTAGTCTCACAAGGAACCGATAGGTCACCTTACTGTTCGAGACACCACGAACCACACTATCTCAATGTAAGACAAGGAGTATGATTGCATAAATAAATAAACTGCAAGCATATGTACTTTGACTAAAACGTGACTGCCAGATCAAAATGGTACTATTAATATCTGAAAGCCAAGCTTTTACAGCATATCCAACAATCTCCCACTTATGCTTAATAAGCTTATGTCTATCACTAACCACAATTTTCTTTCAATCTAATTCTCAAAGGCTAGTCTACTATGTCGCCCTAACATCTGACTCTCATTTCTTCTACTTGTCTTGAAAAGACTTTCGCCGGTAGGCTCTTCGTAAAAGGATCTGCTAGGTTGTACTCTGACTTTATCTTGGCAACAATGACTTCCTCTCGTCCAACAATTTCTCATATCAGGTGGTACTTGCGCTCTCTGTGTTTACTCGCTTTATGAGTTCATGGCTCTTTCAAATTTGCTACTGCTCACCTGTTATCATAGAACACTGTAATTGCAGTGGGCAAACTCGGCACCACGTCAAGGTCGAGGATAAAATTTCTGAGCCAGACAGCTTCTTTCGCTGCCTCTGAGGCTGCTACATACTCAACTTCCATGGTTGAGTCCGCCACGCATTTCTGCTTGACACTCCTCTATACCATAGCTTCTCCTTCTAAAGTAAACACAAACCCTGAGGTTGACTTGCTTTCGTCCCGGTCTGCCTGGAAATCAGAATCGGTGTAACCTAACGGAAGCAATTCATCTGGTAAATCAACATATACTCCTTAGTCCTTCTCAGGTACTTGAGTATGTGCTTTACTGCAGACCAATGTTCCGATCCTGGATTACTCTAATATCTAGCCACCATGCCTACTGCATAACAGATATCAGGTCGCGTGCACAACATTGCATACATGAGGCTTCCTACTGCCGATGCATAAGGAACTTGTAGTGCCCCGTTTATTTATGAATTATTTGGAATTATTTATTATTATTATTATTGATATTATTTATTGTTGTTATTATTATTATTATTATTATTATTATTATTATTATTATTATTATTATTATTTATTGAATTCCAAATTGTCAATTAAATGCCTAAATGTTTATTATTATTAAAATTAATGTGTGTATTACCACCATCACGTCACCGCCAGCAAAAGCTTTCCCCCACGCGCAACGCCGTCGTGAACCAGTCGGCGAACCCTCCGCCATCGCCGCAAACCCCAATGCCCGCGACCTGCAACTCCGGCGAGTGACCACCGCCGCTCCTTCTCCACGCGCAGGCCTTCCTCCGCGAGCTCTTTCGTCGCGATTCCGGCGAGCACTGTTCGCGCAGCACATCCGCGAGCGATCACCGAGCACCGATGCTCCTCTGCCGCGACCCTCCGTAGCGACCAGCAAGTTCCCGAGGAGCCCTCGTCAGCCGCTGCTCCTCCTCCGCGAGACGAAGCGCAGCCGTCGAGCCGTTGCCACCACCGCGAGCCGCCTTCGACGTGCCATTCACTTCCTTCGTCCCGTTTTTCGAACATTTTCCCGAGAACGGTACCTAGGCTTGAACCCCGTCTCGTTTAATTTCGTGATATGTGTTAATGTGATTTGTTTTATATAATCGTATGCCATGTCGATCAAGAAATGAATATTGAGCCTTATGTTAATTAAATTATGTATCGATCTATTCGGTTCGTGCGAACTCGAATGATATCACGTTATAACGTGTTAAGTTGCTGTGGAATTGGAACATAACAAGTCCTTAGTCTTATGATGAAGGCCTCAGACAATTTCGAGTCTTGTCGAGTCGTACATGAATTTATGAACTCATATGATTGCTGATTTGGTATTAAATTCGTGATAAATTGTATACTGCTCCGATTAATGTGAAAATTTGTATGTCATGTCCTCTGTTGATCATGTATGCCGTGTAAAAATTTCATATTAAAATACTAACTGTAGCTATTTTAATTAATCGTTCTGATTTCTGATCAGAATATTGTAAATTGCATATGAAATTGATTTGTGCCCCAAATTGGCTGAAACAGGAGTATGTTGTCTCTTTGTCATATTTACATGTTGTGCAAAAGTTTCAAAATTTTTGGACTTCGTTTGCTAGGGTAGATAATTTATTTTAGTATTCTGCTGAAACTTGTTTTCATTATGATAATTTGATCCGTTACCGTAAATTGCTAGTATTTAGTTGAAATGCTTATTTAATGATGTTATGTGTGTGGAAAAACATCCAGTAGTTTTGGAGTTCATATTGGCTCAGTTTTGTTGACAATTCGAAATCTGCAGAATCTTGTTACAATTTTCATAATTTTCATGTTTAATGTTTAAAGCTGAAATTTTTACATCATGTTATTCGCATGCTGAGTGTGCCTGTGTAAAAATTTCAAAGGTTAACTCGTTCATTATGCTAGTCTTTAAATTTGTGCTCGTTTTCGCTGAAAACTTGTTCGAATTTTATAGAATCATGTGTTTTGAGTTAAGGGCTGAAATTTTGTGGTTTTACTAAGTCTAGTGAGTTGGATTTTATGTTAAAGTTTCAGAGTTTAACGCATTCAACAACCTAACCAACCTGATTATGTGATTTATTGATTAGTATTTCAAAAATATAGTTTTTGTGTTAAAAACTGTAAACCGACTCGCATGCTGTCTCTTGTTCGTTTGACTTGGTCAACTCTTAGTTGAATTTATGTGAACTCCCATATGTGTTTGGTTGAGTATAAGTGCCGAGTCTAAGTATTCTAATGTCCACAGGACTTCACGAACAACTTAGTCGAATCAAGTTCGACTAAGTCTGATTTGTGTTTTCCGTTTAAGTCAAGGTAGATGTTGATTATGGAATCTTGGCTTAATGTAGGTGCGTGAGGAGTCAAGCCTTGACCTACGTACCTTCTATTTTTGCTCTTATCAATCCGGAATCTAGGTCGGTTAGTTATTCTAAAATACTTGTGCATATGTGTTTTAAATGTGTTAAACCGGTATAATCTATGTATACATGTGAGCATGTAGCCTATCGATGTGAGATTGATAGCCATCGGTACGGTTCTTCCCGTCATTGTAATACGGTTACCGTTACGAGGTAAATCTCCTTAAGTCCTATAAGAAGGCCATGTCCTTACGTGGCACGCACTCCCGTGTCATTGATGTGGCATGGCTAAGAGTAGATGTGCACATGAGTGTGCCATTAACGTGGCTAGAGTCATTGATGTGACTAGAGATGAGACATGATACTATTATTGTTTATGTTCATGCTGCGACCATACCAACCTAACATGTTTTTAGGTTGTTCATATGCATAGTGTGAGTACAATATTTTCCAACTGTACTCACTCCTACCTGCTCTTCACGGATGCAGGTTAAGCAGTTGGCGGGTGACGAGACAAGACGAGTGAGTGGTCTTGTTTATTGATTCATGATTATTATTATGCTTCCGTTTATCTATGACTATTACTTTGACTTGGATTTTTATCCTTCCTGCTCGTTTTGGGATAAATTGATTATGTCGTTTGAAACCTTTGATTATGTTTTGATTTCATGGTTTTGGAACTTATTGAATGCTAGTAAAGTTTTATAACTATTAGTCATGCATGTACCGATTTTATCTGATGTGTTTGTATTTTTAATTAATAGTTCTTGGTAGTTAAGTAGCGCCCGATGAGTTTTAGTTAAATTTGAGATTTGCGAAAAATTAACTCTGATTTTATAAATAAATTCGATAAATCTTTTAAAATAAAGTGGGGCGTTACAATTTGGTATCAGAACCAGTCTGCGTTTCTGTAGACTGGTTTATATGTGATTATGTGTTTAGACCTTGTATTACGACCACTCTTCTTCGTCACGTTGCATTACTTAAAGGTATGTTTTATAAGTGTCAATGAAAATACTTATAATGTGAAATGTGAATTTTATATTTTCGCATAAGTAGCAATGAAACT